TCTGCTGATGTTTCAGCTCATCTTCAAACTAGAATCTATTACTTGTTTAAAGCTAAATATGTTATAACAAGTATTATATGCATGTGCTAAAAACAGTTATCTGTTCTAGATCTCACTGGGTGACAGCAGGAGAAAAACTACGTCAGCTGGAGTCCCAACCACTTATCGCACGTCCTAAGTTTGGAGCTGGTACCATCCAGATGTGGTCCTGTGCCACAGGGCTCACAGATGTTTTACCAGTGCCCACCTGAGAAGTACTGCAGTAGCATCATTCTGGACCACATGGCTCCACACTTCCCTGCTCTTCCTCCGATGCTGCAGTCTTCTCAACAAGTTTTGTGTCCACACTTCACATCTTCAGTCTCTGCACGTGTCACTGGAAACGTCTTCTCAGAGGCCAGAACCAGGGAGCAGTCCAGATGTTCTGCAGGGGTGCATATTCTACAACCAAGGCTTACTGCTGTTTCCGTGTTGCAGAAGAAGTGTGGAGGAAGAGTCTGCTGACATGCTGAAACCTTCATCCATGTGTTTATATCAACGCAGTAAGAATCATAAAATGTACAAATCACTTTTGTTCCTTCATATTTTTAATATTCAGTCTCAAGCTGTGAATCACTGTAAATACTGTAAATAGTTGTTACTCATGAAAAATACATAAATGTGCCAATTTATTTAAAATGAAATTGCATAATTTGGGAAAAATATATATAATCCACTATCCATTTATAGTGTACAGTTAAAATGTTAAATAGTTAAGTTTTCTTGTTTTTTCTAGATATTGTAATTTACACTTGTTTTCCTTTCAATTCAACTGAATCAATCTACAAATTAAATAAAAAAAACAGTACAGTATGCTGCTCAAGTGTGTTTTAATTGAAGAATGTTTAAAATAATTCAAAACATTTAAATAACTAATTACATAACACTAGAACAATATGTAACAAGCTGGGTATGGATGTTATTTTTATTTTATAAACTTACTGCAGCACGACCTTAGGACTTTCACCCAAGGACATCATTTATACAGAAAAGACACTTGGGTTTGTCTACAAGTAAGCAGGAGACTGTTCCAAGATACAATATAATTTTATTAACACTAAGTTAAAAACCTATTCTAATGGAGGCAATAATGATTCTTAAAATAAATATTCTTTCCAGTGTTCAGTCAACTAAAAGACAAAAGGATGGTTCAAGGTAACACAAGCAGAAATTCACCCACAAGCTGTGAAGCACGAGACACGAGTGGAACAGAACCTACACGAGACTGGACTGCACCTTCAACCTGGAATATAAATATGAAATTAAGTAAACAAAAATAAATATGAATAATATTTAAGAATTACAAAACAAAC